TGGAGAGGAGCAGACAGCCAAGGCCCGGCCCGGGCCGCACCAGGACGCCTGGCCAGCCCCCCACCGCAGAGAAGCCAAACTGTTACAAAAAATACATAAGCAACCAATTTGTAACATGACTATAACCAAAATATCACAAAGGGGTCTGTTTATGAGATATTACATTTTTTTAAAATTGTTCTTGTTTTTCCAAGTTTCTGATTATTTAAAGTGAGTTTTTCAACAGAGGCAGAGTTCAACATTAGATATTATTCAGACACGGTGACATGATGTTATWGTTTTAATTTAACTTTGTTTAAAGAGTCTCTGCAGGATTTTAACACCTGGAATAATTTAATCCGTTAATCTCAGTTAGAAACTCGTTGCAGAGCTTTTCTCTGTGTCCCACTGAAGTGCAGCCTGTCAACTTGTAGACCTGTTTTTACTTCACCTGCTAACTGGAAGCTAGCTTCCTGTGCGCGTGCTCAGATCAACAGGAAGTCTCTGGACTCAGGAGCGCCTCCTACCTGCGTCCTGCCTCACCTGCAGCCTCTTCACACCTGTTTCATGTTGAATAAACATCAGCTGCTGAACAGAGGAAAGTCAGGGTTTCTGTTCAAACTATTTGAAACAATGGAGTCTTTTTATGTTTTTCAACAGATTTTAATAGTCTTTTATTTCTTCCATTGTTTTATTTCACATCTGCAAACATGTAAAAACAATTCTGTACAATTATTTCAACACTGGAGACAATTACAAAAAAATAAAAATAAAATAAGAAGTTTTACAAAATCTAAATCATGCAAACAACAGAATTATATTCAACAATCACCCCGAACACAAAGTGACAAAATAAATAAAAAGAAGTTGGTTTTATTAGTAACAGTCCCTCAAAACTAAAAAACAAACTTTCAAACGTCTGTTTTGGTTTTTGATCTGAACATTCAGCTGACGACAGTTTAACGTCYGTTTGTTCTGCTCAGATTAAAACCTTTGATTCATTAAACATGTGAACCAGGTTCAGGTTTGTTTTGGCCTCTGATGGAAGCAAAGATCACAAGCAGATTAAAAGTTTCATAATCTGGACATTTAATCTGTTAATCTGAACTCTTCCTGTAACTCCAGATTAACATTTATCTGATCCAGACGAACTCTGAGCTGCAGCTTCATTCAAAACTTTAACTTTTTATTCTTAAACACAAACAAGAGTCTCACTAAACTCACTGAGGTCCAATCTGGACCAGTCAGAACCAGCAGGACCAGCAGAACCTGGACCGACATGTTGGTTTGGGTTAAATTCAGGTTTAAACTTCATGTTGAGGTTGTGTTGAGGCGACGCCCCCTGCTGTCACAGTCTGAGACTGAAACAAACAGGAACTCAGCTTCTCTTCTGAAACAACAAAACTACWGTTTCCTGATAAAAACAGCTTCATTCATGATTTTAATTAAATATTCCTGAAAATAAACATTGTTTTTTCTGTTTCTGTCAGTTTTCATTCAAACGTTTCTTCAGTCTGAAGCTTCCTGTTGAATTATTTCCAAACAAATATTTTATACTTTAATCTGTTCAATATTTAGTGGATTAAAACCGAGCTAAAGAACCAGAAACATCTGAGATGATTTTCATCATTTYAGGCAGAAAAACAGATTTATTTTATTTTAATAATCTGAGTTTAAACATGAGATTATAAAGATATTTTAGAAACAAAGATTAAATCTGCAGTTATTTAATCTCCTCATTCACTTTTTATTTCTTTCCTTTAATCTGAATGATTTGTTTCTTTTTGACTGTTTCAGATTAACCCAGATTATAATAATCTGTAGATTCATCTGAAGTTTTAATCCTTTAACTCAAATCTTTATCAGGATTAAACTTCAGAGACTAAAATAAATTTATATTTGAATCATTTTAACGCTAATCTGCTGTCGTAATCTCAGTTTTTTAATCCTAAAATCCAAAGCAAACCAACATAATCCTCGGATTAGCAGCTGATTCTAATGAGCTGTTTGTAGCTCAACATGAGGGATTACATCTAAATAATCTGGCAGATTACTGCCACCATGAGCTCAGATTAAACCCTGTTTCTTCTCCTTCAGAGACTTTAATCCCAAACATCAAGAGGCAGATTATTGGAGGGAAAACAACCAAAAATCCAGATTCTGTCAAAGATTATCATCAACATGAAGCTCAGATTAAAGATTATCTGAAAGGTTTTCTCCTCCAGAGTCCAAGAAATTAATCTGACATCAGGAGCATGACGGGATTAAAGTCGATTAAACCAGATTAAAATGGATTAAACCAATTAAACTGGATTAAACCGGATAAAACTGGTTTAAACTGGATTAAAGCAGATTAAACCAGTTTAAACTGGATTAAAGCAGATTAAACCAGTTTAAACTGGATTAAAGCAGATTAAANTGGATTAAAGCAGATTAAAGTGGATTAAAAAGCTTCATGGAGCTTCTGGACTTGATTTATTTCTGTTAAAATACTGAACCTGGTGAGTTCTTCACTTCCTGTTTCATTCAACTGAAGAAGGAAACCAGTTTTTCACAATAAAAGTCTCAGAATTCATTAAACCACAGCGAGGGTTTCTGTAGTGTTGTGTTGCTCCTCCTTCACCTCCTGCTACTCCTCCTGCTGCACCTCCCTCACAGGAGAAACGACCAACAGAAGGAGTCTCTTCCCATGATGCATCAGGGGGAACGTGGCTCCTCCTCCTTCAGGAACATCAAAATGTTTCCTCCAGATTCTATATTGCAGATACAAGGTTCCACCTCCCAGCAGGAGCAGAACCTCAGGTCAGGAGGAGGACCTCAGGTCAGGAGCAGAACCTCAGGTCAGGAGGAGGACCTCAGGTCAGGAGCAGGACCTCAGGTCAGGAGGAGGACCTCAGGTCAGGAGGAGGACCTCAGGTCAGGAGGAGGACCTCCTCGGCTCAGGAGTCAGAGGAGGTGTTATGAGGAGGAGTTGTCCTGCAGGTCTTTGGCTTTGGTCAGGATCAGGTGGACGTCAGAGATGGGATAGTCCTGCAGGAGAAAGGAGAACAGAGGATGTGAGGAGCAGCAGAGGAGAGGAGAAGCTCAGCTGTGGTTCTGACCCGACCCACCTGCAGTGACCTCATGTTGACGGTGAAGTCTCCTGACAGCAGGCTGTCCCGGATCAGTCTGCAGACAGAGACACAGTCAGGTTCTGGACAAGCACTTCCTGCTCCCTGTCTGGACCTGCAGGCTTCTACAGGACCTGCAGGGTTCTACAACAGAGACACAGTCAGGTTCTGGACAAGCACTTCCTGCTCCCTGTCTGGACCTGCAGGCTTCTACAGCAGCTTCTGGGTCCATCAGAACCAGGACCACCAAGACCAGACCCCTTCAGAACTCACCTATAGTCTCATTTCTACAGGAAATCAGGTTTTTTGAGTTCAGGATCAACAGCCCCCCCTGCTGTCAGAAATCTGCAGCTGTTTTATTTCAGCTCCATGATGTTAAAAACCTCAGCTAAATATCAGCCAAACAGAGCTGAAGACTGACCTGGTCTCTCTGGGTTTTCATAATCCTGTAATTAAAGGTTTTAGTTCACAATCCCTGAGGCCTGCAGTCCAGACCACTGAAACTGAGTCAGTCAGACAGGAAGGAAGTACAGCCCGTCAGACAGGAAGTACAGCCCGTCAGACAGGAAGTACAGCCCGTCAGACAGGAAGTACAGCCCGTCAGACAGGAAGTACAGCCCGTCAGACAGGAATGCGTCATG